TTTAATACCCCACTCACAACTATGGATAGATCAACTAAACAGAAAATGAACAAGGAAACACAAACTTTAACGGACACAATGGACCAGCTAGACCTAATTGACATCTATAGGACGTTTCACCCCAAAACAATCAACTTCACCTTTTTCTCAAGTGCACACGGAACCTTCTCCAGAATAGATCACATCCTGGGCCATAAATCTAGTCTTGGTAAATTCAAAAAGATTGAAATCATTCCAGTCATCTTTTCTGACCACAGTGCAGTAAGATTAGATCTCAATTACAGGAAAAAAATTATTAAAAATTCAAACATATGGAGGCTAAATAACATGCTTCTGAATAACCAACAAATCATAGAAGAAATCAAAAAAGAAATAAAAATGTGCATAGAAACAAATGAAAATGAAAACACAACAACCCAAAACCTATGGGACACTGTAAAAGCAGTGCTAAGGGGAAGGTTCATAGCATTACAGGCCTACCTCAAGAAACAAGAAAAAAGTCAAATAAATAACCTAACTGTACACCTAAAGCAACTAGAGAAGGAAGAAATGAAGAACCCCAGGGTTAGTAGAAGGAAAGAAATCTTGACTGCTTTCTTTGTCCATTTCAGGGATACCAACTCCTTTTGCTGGATCACTTGCTTTGTCATAACTATTATTTGATTGCTTTCATATCTTTCCTTTTAAAACCATGATTATTTTAAGCTTTCTTACTACTAATTTGATTCTCAGTCCTGTCTAGTCTTTTTTGTTTCTACCTTATATATTCCATAATGATGTTATTTTGGATTTCACTTAACGATTTTTTCTGTAGGTTTTATTCACATGTAAAATTTGTTGGACTGATAGAGTAACTTTTACACAGTCCTCTTTATCTAAAACACAATATAATTTGTAGCTGTGACAGAGAATGGATTTCTAAGAACCTTTACACAGAGAATTATACTAGCAAAGTGTCTCTTGAAATTTGTGAGATTGTTTTGAAAGAACTTCTTCTAGTGAACAGAGATGGTAAATCTCTATATTTACCATCACATGTATTGCTGCTCCTTTACCTCTTGCCCATGATAGACAGGCTAATCAATCACAGTGTTCTAGTTTGATTGCAGAGATTATCTCACGGTTCTGTGTAACAGAGTACCAGAGAGACAGCCACAAAATGCATTGTTCCAAGTCAGTCTTCAAGAAGAAATCAATTCCATCACTTCTTTAGGACTTGACCCAGAATGAGCCATCTGTGAGCTTTCCAGCCCTATAAAATTCTCTACAGTTCTCATGTACCCTGAAGCAAATGTATAGGGGAAAATAAAAGGAACATATATATATATTTTTTTGTGATTAAAAGTAGTCAGTATAGTTCAAGTCCCCAAATAAGTGAATATATATATTGGTATATCAGTATATAATAACCAGATCGGGTCTTTCTAATCTGCATTTTGAATTTCTCTTGAGTGTGTACCTAGACAACATATTAAAAAGCAGAGACATTACTTTGCCAACAAAGGTCCATCTAGTCAAAGTTATGGTTTTTCCAGTAGTCATGTATGGATGTGAGAGTTGGACCATAAAGAAAGCTGAACACCGAAGAATTGATGCTTTTGAACTGTGGCACTGGAGAAGACTCTTGAGACTCCCTTGGACTTCAAGGAGATCCAACCAGTTCATCCTAAAGGAAACCAGTCCTGAATATTCATTGGAAGGACTGTGTTGAAGCTGAAACTCCAATACTTTGGCCACCTGCTGCGAAGAACTGACTCACTTGAAAAGGCCCTGATGCTGGGAAAGACTGAAGGTGGGAGGAGAAGGGGATGACAGAGATGGTTGGATGGCATCACTGACTCAGTGCACATGAGTTTGAGTTAACTTTGGGAGTTGGTGATGGACAGGGAAGCCTGGTGTGGTGCAGTCCATGGGGTTGCAAAGAGTTGGACACGACTGAGTGACTGAACTAAACTGAGTATATACTACATTTTTCTCTTAAAAAATTAAAATTCTTGAGAACTGTAGGTTCACTTGCTGTAAAGAAATAGAGCCTGTGTGTCCTTTACCCATTTCCATCAATGGTATCATTTCGTGAAACTATACTATAACATCACAAGCAGATAGTGACACTGATGTGGTCAAGATGCAGAACAATTCCATCACCACAACCATCACATCCACCTTCCTCCCACCTTCATCCCTTCCTTATCCCCTGGCAGTCACTAGTCTGTTCTTCCTTTCTATAATTTTGTCATCTCAGAAATATTATCAATGGAATCATACTGTAACATTTTGGAACTGGCTTTTTTTCATTATGTCTAGTTCTCTGGAAATTCTTCCAGATTGTTGTGTGTAGCAGTACTTCATTCCTTGTTATTGCTGAGTCATACTCCATGGTACGGATGTACTATAACTTGTATAACCATTTACCTCTGAAGGATGACAACTGGGTTGTTTCTAGTTTTGAGGATTATAAATAAAGCTGCTGTAAACATTTGTGTACATAATGTGTAACGTAAGTTTTTATTTCTCTTTTATAAATGTGTCAGAGTGCAATTACCGTTTATAGAGTGGCTATATCATTTTATATTCATGCCGGCAATGCATGAGTGACCAGTTTTTCCACACATCTGTGCCAGTCTGTGGTATTGTCACTACACATATCAGAATGGCTTTAAAAAGGTATCTCATTGTAATTTTAATTTACATTTCCCTGATGGCTGGCGATGTTGAACAATTTTTTTCATGTGCTTATTTGCATCTGTATCTTCTCCTTGGTGAAATGTCTGTGCATATCTTTTATTTTTAATTGGATTGTTGCTTTTTTATTTTTAATTATTGAGTTTGAGAGTTATCTGTATTTCCTAGATGCTGTGTATTCTAGATATTAACAGTATCTTTAGAATTTTTACATCTGTGCTGTAAAGAACATTGGTCTGCAGTTTTTCTTTTTTGTGCTGTCTTTGGTTTTGGTATCAGGGTAATAATA